AAGTGTCGGAGAGGACGGACGACTATGCTTGTGGGATTTCAATGTCGGCATGCTACATCGCCCGAGAGCCGTAAGTCTTTTCTTGTTGTAGAAACGCGGCGGTGACAAGCGTCTAACGGTCGAACAGCTTTCCGTGCGTCATCGGGGATCTATCTCTTCCCGATATACTGCGTTGCAACGAGCCGAGACTTCCACTACCGCGGCATCACACCTTCGCTCAAACTCAAATCTCGAAACCGAAGATGATGAGGAAGATACGGTCTCACATCCTGTTGAGCCTCGGGCTAGAATCCCAATCCTCCCACCAGTCCTGGTATGTTTGAGCTCTCAACATACGCTAGTCTGATGTGGCTAACACGCGTCTTTCTCTTTCAGAACAAGAATATTGATACCCATCCCGCCTGCTGGCTCGATTTCACCGAGGACGCCATTATCACAAGCTGCAAATCAGGTAAGTAACGCTGGGTCCGTATGATAAGGATTGTGAGTGATGACGAATGTTAACCTTTGTCCACAGGACATATCCGCACGTGGAATAGACCTGGGATCGAACCAATTCCAGGATCTGCTCAGAAGAGTGGGTAAAGCTGTTTATGTTGATTGTATATATTCTTTGATGCCGTGCAAGCCGATGAATGTCATTCCAATTTGTTGTGTATTGTTATCAATGGCTAAAACTTCATGTGAGCGCACGGGATTCGACATGTGTCTGCTCTGAAATTGTTCATGTGTACGGCCCGGCCGCGGTCCGGTGAACAGCTCGCAAATGCCAGGTTCTCCAAAAAAAAAAATACGACTTCAAAGATAGACAATCAATGCCAGGATCATCGATCCATATACTTCATGTTCGGAGAAAGCTGGAACTGCATGACCCCAGACGAAAACTAGCCGGGATGGCAGCTAGTCATCCGACCCTAGCCAGGAATTTATACGGAGGGTATCAGACCAGATCGCAAAGAACCCATTGCTACCTAAAGTGGGTGACAAGAGAACTGAGCCACCTAATGGAAGAGGTTATTAATCGAGTATTTTCTCAGTTGAATTGAGAGAAATCAGTAGTATAAAAAGAGATACAGTGACAATATACGCTGTATTGTCTCTGAAGCATGTCTTATTAGTACTCACTAATCTGATAATACCGGCCGCAGACTCGAGAATAACAGCTTAATGTTTGAGTATCTCAATTTCAATGTCACCCACTTGTCCCTTCACAAGTAGACAGCGGCGGGGCGCGCCCGCTTTTGTGTTTGCGAATCTCGAAACCCTTAGAATGGGGCGATTGTACATCTCTATCGGGGCTCGGCAAGCTCGCCGTCAAAGCCCGCCGGACTTAAATAGGAAACCTGGCGTGAGGCGTGCATCGCAACATGTGCGTCCGCGACGTTAATGTTCCGGCTCGGTATCGAGCGGGAACGAAAGCGGAGACCCGGGAAGCGGCGCATAGTGCTCGCCAGTCTGCCTACCCACGGTGCCTGTCTATCGTAGCTTGCGTATAATAGGGACACGCTCCTCCCCTCCTACGTACACGCTCACACCCTTGATGATTTGCAAGAGAATGTGCTTGCAGAGCATGGACATCTGATGTGTGTATGGTGGCGTGATGTAGGCGCGGTTGCAGTTACCACACACTACCATTCCAGACGGCAGTGGTATTCCTGCAGGGCTGAAGACACCCCTGATTCCATCCCGTTAGGAAGAACTCGGGACAGGGCTGCCCTTCGTACGAGCGACGACGTAATTGTACAGACGACAACTCTTCCCGTTCTGGGACCTTGGGGAGAGGAAACCGGGTGCACGTAGCATGATGGTGAACTCGCTTATGCTGACCTCGGAGACCGATTCGATGGGGGTTGACCAGGGCTTGCGCATCAACGAGCTCTGTTTGAAGCTTGTGATATTGCAGCGCCCTTTGTCCACGCACTTGATGCTCGCCGACGGAGCAAACCAGCACAGGTGTGGACCCTGTGACACGGCCTTATCTCAAGATCCCTGAGTTTTGCATTCCGTTCGCTGAGCGGGCGAGGATAAAAGAGGATACAACGATGGAGCCTAGACCAAGAGCTGACCAGAGCTCTGGGCCCCAGGGACGGATGGGCCAGTAAGGGCCGGGAGATAGTGAGAAGATATACCCGTGCTAAAACATCCACTATCTGCACGGCCAATCGAGATGTGGCGCGGCAGATAAAGGACATCATCTAATTGCCTACAAATCAATCTTGATACCTGAAGTGGGCTCCGAGTGTTCGTGATCCCACGGCCCAGCCTCGGCGCGCCGCATGGGCAGGGAAACTAGAGGAGAAGACCCAATGTGAGGATGGATCCGGCGCACACACAAACTGACTCAGCTGGACTACTGCGGCAGCCAGCCATCACGAACCAGCCACAACTGATGGCATTGGCCAGGCTGTGAGTAACCTTAGTTGGGAATACCACCTCACCACAGGACACTGGCGACCTCCGAGGGTGCATTGCGCAAATAAGGTATGCCTACATGGCAGTGTAGCATGCGTCTTCCAGTGGCCTGACAGGCTGCAGACATGGGAGGTCTAATGATGCCATGTCGCGGCATTGTTCCTGTTTGTCGGTAGGAAGCGAATTTTTCTTCGGCCAAGGCTTCTAGAGCCAGCCCGTTTACAAGGATAGGCGAGGCACCACAGTAACCCTGCTTGGCAGCAGACCCTGCTCCTGAAATGCAGGCCTAACAACAATATGCATGCAGAAGCAGGCGGGTAGGCACTGATGATGCGCTGCTTCAGCTCTGTGCCTTGATATTGTGGACGGGCCCAGCAACTAGTTGAAACTAGCACCGCCGAGAGATGGCTCAGTAGATAAATGATTATGCCCAATGGCTGGTTGACGGGCGCCCGACGATGGCGGAGGCATGCTACCTGGCTCTAGATCCATTGCGTGCTTGTATGAGTGGTTAATCTGCCCTGGCACGACAGATTGGGAACAGTCGAGGCTGGCTTATCGTGCCTGAAAATCATCGGATGGACTATTTCGGCAACGGCGGTTGGAGCTGCTGTCGCAAGCCCGGCCCAGTATTTCGGGGGGCGCAAGGGAGAGTTTGGACATTTGCTCCGAGCAGCGTATGAAAAAGACTGGATTGATCGTTGCTCTCAAAGCATCAATGCGCAGTCTTCTTCATGCTCGCAGGTATTTGCGGTACGGGCTGGCGCCGGGCTCATCCCGGGAATACAGCGGCAAACGGGGCGGACATCAGGGCTGGTGGATTTGAGTCGGTGTAGCTCTGCCGAAGACTCCCGAGGAGGCTCAGCATGACTCTTCATTGGCCGCTTCTCGAGTCGCGCATCCCGTGGCTGTAGCATGAGACACCCCCCTCCCCCGTTGGTGGGCAGATTCTTCATCGTGACGAGGGCCGAAGCATTTTTCTTGTCGACTTTGTCACTGCTTTGTTTTGCAACGGCCAACAAAGTATTCTCCCCCCCGTTTCGAGTTCATCAGGGTCCATATAAGCGCAATCAGGAGGCGCCCGCCAGCAGCGCACGTAGATGCAATGCCAATAATACTGCACATATGCGCCCCCACCTGTCAGAAGGGATCAGAATGACTTCCAGTGTAGGACAGCAGGAATGAGGGAGTGCGTAAGGGCATCCGCGCAGTCCTCTCACAGGAATCCGTATCGCCAATCCAAATCCTGTCATCACACGACGACGCACTACGGCTCCGTCTCTCGTGAGTGCTGACTGGAGTCATCAGAGCATGGTCATTTATGACACGAACCACCACCATCGCTGCCACTGCCATAAAGTGCCCCTCGTCATAAAGAAGAAAAGAAAGAAAACCCTGATAGGCACATACCCCTGCCGCCATTCGCATTGCATCATACCCACTTGGATGGGTGTGATGGGGCGTGTGCCATCCACGGCCCCTGTAGACTAAAGCCGATGTGTGTGCAACCACGGATCCGTCCTTCACGGAGGTCCATTGGAAGGTTGGCACACCATAACGGAGGACCGCAGTAGAGAATTGATGTACTGCGTCGGTGGCTTGAAGTGCTTCCAATTACCGCTGATGCGTGGCGGCAGCAGAGGCTACCTATTGTTAGGACTACCAAGTTCCAAGAGATTTTTTCCGGCCGAAAAACATACCGAAAAAACGGGTAAATAATCTGGCATTGCAGAGGTCAAAGCGCGATAATGCACGGGCTATTCAGCGCGCGCCCGAAACATCTAGGAGATAGGCATTATTAGCGGTTTCTGTAAATCCATGAGATAATCGTTGCTCGTAGACAGTTAGAGAGTGGCTTGACCTCACGATACCGTAAAGCGCAAGATAAGCAGGCAGGGGGTGAGGAAGGTACAAGCCCCTCTTTCCTCAGCAATTCGCGAAAGCCGGCCCCACATGACTCAATCCAGCTTCCCGTGGCGTGCGTGGAAAGAGAAAGAGCGATCCGTTGAAACCGCAGTGACCTGCGCGCGTACTTATGATCAGCGGCGTTGCAATCAGTCTTTGCCTCGCGGCCCAGAATCAGTCGGGTCAAGTTCTGGGTCTGTCCAGTTTTCTCCTCTTTTCTCCTGCTCGTCGTTATACCCGAACTTGTCATAAGATCATACGCCTCAAGCCGATCATCAGCCCAGATATCGGAGGCGGCTGCAGGCCCCACCAACGCACCTCGCCTAGCCCTTCCAACCGGCTAACTGAACCCCTCCCCCCACGCGCATCGTACCTCCGATACAGGGAGTACCCGCGACAAAGTACTGCTGGTGCGCTTGTCCCTACGAACTGGACCTGACGGGACGGTTGTCAGCCATCCTGGAGACCTGGCGTGTGCTCAAGAGCAAAGAAGAATCCTGCCGCTCCCATTTCAGCCTGAACTTAAAGGGATCGCACGCCCCATTACGGATTCTTCTCCTTCCTCTAGAATCGCAATTCTGCCCCTTCTCAACCCCTTCCCTCACTCTTCCCAACTTTTGTGTTTCGTCTTCCCCAAGCACTGTACTTGGGGCTGCAGAAGCATAACCCTCGCAACACACACAATGCCGTCAATATTCTCGTCGGTAACCGGCCGCAATGCGGCCAGTCTCTTCGATATTCGGTAAGGGCTCTTTTCCGCTAACCCGTTCTCACTTTGCCCCGCTAACCGGCTTGTTCCCAGCTTAGATAGCGACTTCATCGTGTTTCGAGGAAACGAGCATGAGTCTGCGGGTCAGATGATCAAGGGAGTTGTTGTCTTGTGTCTTCCGTCTGCGCTGCGCATGGAGGATGTGCGCCTACGGTTAACGGGCACACTGAGAATAAAGTAAGTCGCACGACAGTTGTCTCGGCGCCACCACGTGGGTCCAACGGCAAAAACGTCATACTAACGCCTGCATCACCAGCGCTCCGGGATCATCGAGTCAAAAAGGCGAAAAGAATACAACAATTCTCGAGCATCGATGGGCGCCTTTCGTGGGAACCCACGGAAAGAGCATGACCCTACCTGCCGGAAACTACGAATACCCCTTCGAGTACCTTCTCCCCGGAGACACGGCCGAGAGCGTCGAGGGAATCCCAGAAGCATCCATCACCTACCGTCTAAAAGCAACCGTGGGCCGCGGCAAGCTCGCATATGATTTACACGCCTACAAGCACCTCAGAGTCATTCGAGCCCCCGAGCCTGGTGCCCTTGAGTTTCTCCACGCCATGAGCGTGGAGAACATTTGGCCCAACAAAATTGATTACTCTATCATCATCCCTCAGAAGGCCGTGGTGTTTGGTGGAACTGTCAAATTGCAGATGCGACTGACTCCCCTACTGAAAGGATTAGAAATGGGAGAGATCACAGCAAAAATGGTCGAAATTCGGGAGACTTGCATTCCCTCACCTACAGGCCTCAATGTACGGGATCACAAGATTGAACGAGATGTATCGACATGGAAATTCGGAGTAAATCGGGAGGAACACTGGCACGACATGATCGAGGATACTGGTCAAGAGGGATGGGCTCTGGAAAAGCAGCTCACCCTCCCCAAGAAGCTCCGACAGTGCATTCAAGACCTGAACTTGCACGGCATCAAGGTCCGCCATAAAATCAAGCTCACAATTGCCCTGGAGAACCCTGATGGACACATTTCTGAGGTAAGGATTGGAATTATCCACAACATATTGTCGATTTACATGGCTAACATACATTTGCAGCTTCGGGCCACCCTCCCGATATCTATTTTCATTTCACCAAACCTGCCCCTTGATGATGAGGGAAACTTGATTGAGCAGGCAGGTGGTGTTGCTCCTGAACAAGACCTCGGGGCCGCCGCTCCTCCCGGATATGGAGAGCATGTTCTGGATCAGCTCTATGATGAGGTTGAGATGACGGGTTTCCAAACACCAGCTTTCCAATCTGGGGTCAACAGCCCCTTCTACATTCACTCCCGTGCAGGTTCAAGCGAAAACCTAGCCGGCATGACACACGAAGCACCATTCACACCGTCGGCACTGTCATCGAGACTGGCAGACGTTTCAATCGACCCGAGCCAAAGAAATACAGCTTTTAGTGCTGGTCACCACGGGCACCACACGAGATCCGAGCCTGCTTCCAATAATCTCACGCGACACAACAGCAGTGAGGATGACCGAACACCAGGATCTGAGTCTCCGCAACACATTCATATTGATGAAAGCGAATTTGCGGAACTCAACAAGGTTCCCAGCTATTCAACTGCGCTTAGGATGCCAGCGTCGACTCGCAACCAAGCGGAGGCTTTCAATCTGCCCGACTACCAAACCGCGCTGAGTGCACCACGAACTCCACCAGCCGCTTCAGAGGCACTCTCTGGCGAGTATCTGCCTTCTATTTCTGAAGACTTTGCCGCCGAACACGGTGTGCGTAATGGCCCAGTACGAGTCACTTGCAGGAGGAGCCACACAGACACAACAGCTAATGGTCAAAGGCTTCACATTCTTCAAGCTAGGGACCAGATGGTCTAAATAGGCTACTGGGTGTACATCTATCTATTTTGCATTGAAGCTAAAATTTGCATCAAGTTAGCGGGCGTTGGGAGGCATTTTATTTGTCATTTTTGGGTTTTTACGATATATCCAACTTCATGCCTAGGACGTGCATGGGATTTCTTTTGTGTTTGGGTTTCGCTTGGGCAGGCATTTCTTATAGACGGACAGGTTTCAAATTGGGGTTTTTTTGGGCGAACTTGATGAAGACAGACTCATGGACTGAGCGAGAATGGAACAAACCGATACAGGTTCAATACATGACAGAAATGACCAATGGACACTTGCCTTACTAAATTTGACTGAATGTTTTCCTGGTTGGCGGGTATGTCTCAAGCATGTCTCACCTATAATTACTTATGCTTTGAGTCGATGACTCGGATAGCAACCTGCGGTGTCACGCAATCATCCGATCTAGTCCAAAGATGCCTTTCGCGCAGTTAGGGGCAGCAGCAAAATCCTTAGCAAATACTAACAGTGGGGCCAACGGCTAATCTAAATTTTCCCACCAAAGAATAGTACGACTTTGGGCGAGGGGATGTGACGTCAATGAGTTCATTTGAGCCCTTCCTCTACGGCCAGGACAGTCGAGCTGAGCTCCCTTGGCAGAGTGCACAATATTCCATCGCAAGCTTCGTACCGAGGGCTGGAATTACTACATAGTATGTACAACGGGATGCCCCCCATGGGATTCCCTGCAAATAAGATGCTTAGCTTAGTAGCCGTGATCCAAGAATAACTCCCACGTCTCTCCTGCCCGTTCTTACGTGATGTGCGCTGTGGGCGAGGCCCCAACTTCCTGATAATTTCGGACGGCTGCTATTGCCGCTAATAATCTCATCACATTCCCCCCACTCGACTGAGCTTGGCTCGTCCAGATTAATATTGATGACAACGATTACCAACGGCAAGTCTCCGAAGTCGTCGGTCCATATTACGACGCCGCTCGCTGCACCAGGCTCAGCGCAGGCCTTGTATACATAGTACGCAATAATAAATACTACAGTAGTAAGCGGCACTGCAAAAAGAATTCCAAGACCCTGTCGCGACTGCTGTTTTCCCCGTTCCCCATCCTGCCGGATCGTGAAGGCCAGCCCGCAGCAGCTGATCCCAATATAGTAAGGCAGGTAGAGTTGCATCCTGCCAACGGGACTCAACCTTGCACCCCGACATTCCGACTGACATTCTGTTCTTTCAGCATACAAATTTCGATTCGATTTTTAGACTGCGACGACCACGATCGACGACTCCCAACTCCGATTTCCTCAACTACCGAGCGACTTACCATCCCGACCGTCCTCTCCATCAGCAGATCCTGTCCTCCCCCGCACACACACACACACCTTTCGATCTGCCGACATAGCTGTCTACCATGGCAGCCTCGCCCCCCAGCAGCACGCTCCCTTCGAGGGCAGCGACAGGCCTGAGCGCATACAGCGAGGATAACGCCTACGACTACGATACCACAAGCGTACGTTCCATACTCGAGCCCTCTTTGCTGGACCAGGAAGCTCAGCTCCGCGCCAGATAGGTGGGGAATTTTGCTAACTAGGCTTTTGCAATACAGACAGCCGGTCTTCTGGCAGAACGCCTACAAGCATGGAAGCATGCTGTTGGTTATCTCGAGGAGTACATTGGGGTCATGGAGAAACTCCATGGCAAGCACGCCAAGGAGTATGAGCGTGCTCTCAAGGTTGGACTACCCTCTCCCGTTCATCGTCTCCCGCCGCGGGATGACCGGCTCTCGCACAGCACAGCCTTTTCTAACTGTGATTCTAGACCATCTCGAACCCATTGAGAGAGGGCCACCACTTTGACCAGAGTCTCGGCGGTCTTGCCGGTTTCTTTGAGAACCTGCGCGCAAATACGCAGTCCCTGATTAACACGAATATGGAAACGGAAAAGGCCATTAAGAGTTCGGTTCTTCCCGTCCTCGATCGTCTTCACAAGGAAATCAAGGCCAAGTCCAAGGAGCTTGCCAATGGTGCTATCAAGGGGGCCAAGGAGGTTGAGAAGCTCCGTGGCCTCACCCAGAAACAGATTGAGTTCCTCGGCCAACAGACGGCAGCGTATGACGCAGTTAGTGGCAAGCTCAACTCGATTGACGATCCATACGTACTTCGCCGAGGAGTCCTCTATCGTCTGACCGCGCAGTGCGCTGCTGAGAATAACCACCACAACGACCTCGTTATTGTGCAGCACAACTTTGCGACCTTTGAGGCGCGCATCATTTCCATCATCCAACAAGCGATGGAGCAATTCACCACAATTTGCGGTGGGCAGGCAGACAAGACCCGAGCTCTGCACACTGACATGCTGAACGCTATTCAGCATGTGCCGGCGGAGTTTGAATGGGCCAACTTCACTGTCCGCTACGCCGAGCGTCTCGCTCAGCCCAACGAGCCGCCTCGCTCCATTGACCAGATCTCCTTCCCTGGCCAGGCACACGAGTCGACAGTTGCAGTTAAAGAAGGCGCACTGGAGCGAAGGTCGCGAAACAAGCTCTCTTGGGGCTACACAACCAACTACTATGTCATCACGCCAGCTCGCTTCCTGCATCAATTCAAGGATTCCGAGATGCTCAAGGACGAACCAAAGCCGGAGCTGAGTCTCTACCTCCCCGACTCTGTTGTCGGCTTGCCACAAGGTGACAAGTTCACAATCAAGGGCAAGGACAGGAGCAGGACGGTGAGCAGCAAGCTCACTGGCACAGCCGAGATCAACTTCAAGGCAGCCAGCGCCGATGATGCCCAGAAGTGGGTTCAGGTCCTCTCGAGCCTCATCGTCGCTCCAGACAAGGAGAGCCCCGCAACACCAGCGGGAGCAGCAACGCCCACGTCAGCAAAGTCTGGATCGCCCAAGGCCCAGAAGGAGGCAATCACCCCTCCACCGGCAGCGAGCCCCATCGACTCGCATCAGGCGCAGGAGGCGGGCGTCACAGAGGCTCCCGCAGCATCCGCTAAGCCTGCCGTGGCTGCAGACTCAAAACCGGCTACTGCAGATTCAAAGCCTTCTGCAGACGCAAAGACCCCTGCTGCGCAGAAGGCGGTGGACACCAAGTCTGAGCTTCAATAGGTGAGGCGGATGACGAATTCGGTCTACTGTGCAAGGCTGCCCAGGGATGGGCGCCCAAGGATCCCGGGTTGAGATATAGCGGCTACAGAAGTGTTTCTGATTGCGCGGCAAGGCGTTTTTTGATGGGATTGGTGGCTTGTGATTGGGGCTTCTTCTTACTCTAGTATGCTACTTACATTATTTTTTTAACGAGAGAAACATGAAACAGACAATTAACCAAACAAAAAAAGAATTAAGCATAATCACGGGTTATGTAAGTTCTCTCGAAGCTCTCTGAGCACAGTCCAACATCCCAAGCAACGCTTTAGCCCTCTCCTCATATCGACCACATTATAGGTACGACTAGGCCTAGTCAGAACCTACTCTTTTGTGCTCGATCGACGCATGACCGAAACCAAGCCGTACGGCAACTTCAACACCTACGTAGCACCCGTATCTGCCTCCCACCCTCCATCGACGCGGGTGATATGTGATGTAAGCCTGCCTCGCCTTGGCTGGCTGCCGTGCGACACGACTCACATACCACCAGACTCGTGCGGGGAGGGGGGAGGGCCTGAGTTTCCCTTCCGACACAATTGTGCGGCAAGGGAAGCAGTGACGACTAGCACCGTCAGGCGAACCAGGCGAACCAACACACGCAGAGCCTCATCCCATTGCGCCCGGAATGGAAAGGCAGCGGAAATGTGGGGTAGAGCATGCAGCAAGCATATCCCAGCCGGCCTCAAAATCGACCCTTTCAGGCTGAGACATGGAACGTCGACATAGCCTCACTTACCGAGCGAATGAACCAACCATAAGCGCGGTACGGTAAGAAACGAACGGCCAGCGCAGCCCAACCCAGTTCCAAGAGGGGATCTGAGCCCAATCGTACTTATGTACCGTCGTTGGTCTCTGCCACGCTCCTCCCTACCTAGGCTTTTGGATCAGGCCCGTAGATCGAGGCCGCTCCCCCATGCAGGAGGGTGGGTTGGGAGGCCCTTCGGGTGTTTTTGCTAGCTACTTCCCCAACCTGGGTAGGATCACTGCCCGGCAGGAATGTGAGTCGATGGGTTGCAGTGCCTGGCCCATTATTATTCTCTCTTTATTCTATCGTCAGTTCTCACAAAAACTTGGCTGCGGTGTGCCGTCAGTACCACCAGTCGGGCATGATTTCTGTCTTAGATGCCTCGCCTCCCACGGATCGCGAACCAGAGAAGGGAAGCCGTGAGCTGAAAAGGTGCACCACCTTGGTCTCAGATACAGCCAATCTCGAGCGGTTAACCTCTCGAGCCGCCCGGTTTTCCCAGATAGCTTGATAGGTACCGGCATGGCACAGCAGCTTAAGCGCTGATGGGGAGGCCAACCAGGGGAGCAGGATCGGGAGGGATGGCGGGGGGCAGGGCAGCTCCAACACACAAATTCGCAGAATAGGTTGACCATCCTTGTCTTTGTGGCGTCGTTGACCGTCTGCAAAGTGCTTTCACACTCCTAGAGCCTTGCTCATGCAGCTTTTCGTAGCATTCCCTCTTCCCCAGCCCTTGCTGGCTTGTCTGTCTGTCTCTGTTCCTCCCACCCTCCCTTTCACTCAGCCATGTATGCAGCCAATTATGTACCGTGTCTGTTTTTGAATACGTCCATCTGCCGCCTCACTTATCTCCCTTAGGTAGCCGTCCAGTAGCTGGAAGATCACTTATATAAATAAGTGCCGTCCGGACCCCAGACGCACCCCTCCTCCCATCGTGTAGCTTAGAAGAAGAAGGAAGAATAAGGTCAAAGCTTGTAAGACCAACACTCTCGGTCATTCATAAGCCTTCTTTCATAAGGACTAGGCCAAATCATAGCCACAATACACTTTTGTTCCTTTCCCCTTACCCCTGGATCCGGGAAAGAAGAAGGCCCCAGCCCTATGTACCAGGATCGTCACTTGGAGACACCACCCCCTTCTTAGAAGCCATCATCACCAAGCGCCCTTCGCCAGAACGCCGCACAACATGACAAAGCCATGGGCCAAGAACCGCAAGGAGATTGTCCGGCTGTACATCCGCGAGGGCCGGACCCTCCAGGAAGTCAGGGGCATCATGAAGAACCTGCATAACTTTGATGCATCGTGCGTTCTGACCTCTCCCACCTCCATTCCTTCCCGAGGGCAGAAGACTCTGACTTTTTTCCTTTCGGTTATAAAAAAACAGTATACGTTCGTACCGCCAGTGGTTCGACAAGTGGGACGTGACCAAGTACAACTGTAAGAAGCGCCAGCAGCGCCGCCGCATGCTCCAGCAGTACATCAAGCAGGAGGAGGCATGCGACGACGACCGGCGCAGCAGCAGCCCGGCGCTCGACTCCTCCTCCCCCCGCCTCCCCTTCCCCAAGGAACTGTCGGCCGCAACTACTCCCAGCCAGGACCAATTGACCGGTGAGAACAAAACCCCGGACCAGGTTGCCGAGGCCGAGGCCGCCGCCCTGCCCAAGGTCGAGATCGGCCAGAACCGCGACGACGTCTCCCCCCAGGGGGAGTTTTCTCCTTGGTACAACAAGCCCAGCTCGCCCCGCCAGTGGACTGCCGCGACCAAGCCATTCAACCACAGGAAGCGCCAGCCGCGCCGCAAGCTGCCCCAGCAGCAGCAGCAGCACATCAAGCAGGAGGTTTACACCGGCCTCCAGAGCCCGCCGCTGGACACCCGCCTCCCGTACTCGAGGCCAATCGACACCCAGAATACGTTGCCAACCAGTGAGCGCAAGCAGCCCCAGGAACTCATGGCCGGAGGCGCCGCCAGCCCACCCTCGCCCAAGCCGGAGAACAACCACTACATCCTCTCCCCGCCGGCGGAGGCACCTTGGGCCAGGAACCGCTGCCAGGATGGGGCTTATGTCCCACACATCCCTCGGTAGAGAACCCGTCCGCTTTTTGTTTCCATCATGCCCAAGATACTTGTGCTAACTCTGGGGCTGCTCCAGGTACCAAGGACCAGAGTACTTCGAATACTCTACCCCGAGATACACCGAGCCGTTCGTCTTCACCCTCTCGGACAAGCCTGCCTGGCAGTACCACGATGGCCGGGTCAACCCGTCTTGGGTGGACCTGTCTCCGTCGTCGTTGGAGTATGATCTCAGTGTCGGATCTGACACGCCGGGCATGTATGAGGGTGGGTCGGCTGCTATCGAGTTCGCTCAGTCTCGAAGTAGTGCTGCGGCGGATAGGGACCTCATCAAATTGTAATGTTAGAGTCAAGGGACACACGGCACCGAAATAATGAGTAATGAATTATTCAACGATTGTTTTATTTCTCTCTGTTTCTATTTTTTGGTTGAGCGTACCGTGACATCTGCTCTGAAGTGAAAGCAACGTATGCTTATGGGCTGGACTAGAACCCTGCTTGCATACCTGACACACAGGCCCCTTTGTGGACAACATAAATGGGTCCCTTGCGCACGGGATCGGTATGACCCTGCCATTTTTGAAGACCTCCTTTGATATCTTCTCGTCTGGCTTTGCATAACGCTCTAGAAAATGGTCAAGTTCTTTTTCTGTTCTTTTTCTTTCATATCTCGAGTATCGATCGGACCAAGTTCATTTCACTTTCATGTCTTCAACTCAGACCGATCGATAACCAAGACATGCAAGGTAAAAACGGAAAAAGAAAGACCCATTGGCATTGACAACAAAAGTTCACATGTCAGGTGTGCAAGCAAGACCGTAAGACATCATGCAAATATACGACGTCGATACGCCTCACCTCTGAGGGCGTCAGCCCATATAGGTTAGGCGGATACCTCGGTGTCTAAATATTTCCAAGTCAGCAACAGAATCTTAAACCTGTTTGACAAGAAAAAGTGGGAGTAGAGGTGTATCAGGTAATATTAATGCCTTGTCAAAGGCGGTTTCGTCAAAGCAATATGGCTAAGTTGACCGTCGTGATATGTGAATCATCATGTGAGGGAGAAAGAAAGTGTGCAAAGATATATAACTTACCGAAAAAATGCCCATCTCAAAGAGAGCAACAATGTGATGAAGACCTTGGAAATACTTTGACGGATCAGCGACATGATGACACTGGATATCCACGTGCAAAGGATTGTCGATGTGGTCAATCAGATAAATGGAATAAATGTGTCTTCGTAGCGTGAAGCTCAGACATATGCTTGTCTTTGTTTATTCGTGCTCATCAGGACGCTCAGTGTGGAAGTTTTATGTCTTACCTTACTTAGCTAGATGTCTTCCAAGGCTGGCCTTTCTCAATCGTTAGCATCTCTGGACAGTTCAAAGAATTAAACAGCAACAAAAGGATGGAATGCAATGCTCAGTTATGCATGAATGGAAAAATAAGATAGTGTCTGCATCGGAAACCCGGATAAGACTCGTCATCTGTGTCATCATAAAATGCAGGATGAAAGAAACGTTCTTGTCACTTACCAACATGAATATCAATCCCAATGTCCAGGTAGTCAATGAAGTACAAGACATGCTACGGTCACTATCACAAGTATGTCAGCATACCTGCGTGGCCAAAGCTTGTCAAATGAGACGAGATATAGAGTTCAAGATCAGTGGGCGAGGTTTTCTAGGCCTGCCGCAAAAGTGGCTTCTCTTGCTCATGCGTTTATATTCGGAGCCCAGTGCCGCTTCATCATGTTGAGGGACAGGTGGTTGTCAATGGACGATGAGTCGCATACCTTTCTAATACTTGTCTCATGTTAGCCAGCATGTTCAAAGTCTTAACAAACAGACAATTGAAGTTGAAAGATATTTCATAATCAGAAATAGCCATTTTATATCGTCAAAGAAGTTCAGCCGGTAATTTCCAGCGTATATTTATACGAAATGATCATCATTAAAAGAAGAGGAAAAGTAGGGATCTGCTATCTTACCATTTGAATCGTCACATCGCGCATACGCGCGCACCCAATGCCTTATATTCAAGTCATTGTGCCTCTGGTTCATCTATCATGTCTGGTTAGCAATTTGCGACCAACACGATATCATTTGCTGCCCAAGTGTGATGTGAGAAATTCTTTCAGACTGACGTGTAAAACTAGTTTCATTCCAATAGGTCAAAGACTCTAGTTTGCGGTTTACATGTGTCATCAGGAAGTAGGGATAAAGGCGCAGGAAGACCGGGAATTGGCATTGACTTACCACCAGAGGGATGTTGTGCTGGAAGCTTGTTGTGTAGAAGCAAAGAAAGAAAAAAATTTCTGGAACGGGAGCTCCAAGAAAAGTGCATGTGGTGGGGAAGCAATCTGTTGGTCTTATGTAATCAAGTCACGGGACTTCGCGTCGTTGACGTGCCATCGTCTTGAACGCCAGAGCAACCCTATACACCCATTCCCCTCAAGATTGTACGATTAATTTTGATTGCAGTGCTATATAAGTAATTTAAAATGCCTGAAATTGCTGAAGGTATGTTCACTTTCTTTCTTTATTTTTGATTTTCCTTACACGGCGTATTGCTCACACACTCTTAGTCGCGAGGATTGTCCATTTCCTCAAGCTCACGCTGGTTGGTAAGCGTATTGCCCAAGCGTCTGCCATTGATGACCCCAATGTATTTGGCAAGGTGGGCACGACAGGTGCCGATGTGGCGGCTGCGTTAAAAGGGAAAAAGGCAAGTCTCCTCTCATAGCACCTATCACCCCAATGTCTAATACCCGAAAGTTGTATAGGTCATATCCGCTGGTAGCCAAGGCAAATACTTTTGGTCAGTTCCCCTAACCCCAGGCGCATCAGATATTGAAGCTCATACCCGAAAAGGCTTACATTAGAGAAGCCCCCGCATCTGGTGATGCACTTTGGCATGACTGGTAGATCACATCTATCCCTCCCCTGCTTGGTAGGCATTATATTCTAACTTAGCCCTCAGGATGGGTCCATATCAGGGGTGAAAAAACGGCCTACACAAACTACTATAAGAAAATGAAAGAATCGGACCTCGAGCAATGGCCACCAAAATTCTGGAAGTTCCAGATCACCACCGAAGGGGATCCCGCAGTCGAGGTTGCCTTCACAGATGCCCGTAGGTTCGGCCGTGTTAGGTTGGTAGATTGCCCCGGGGATGATATCCGGAAGCACTCGCCCCTCGTGGAAAATGGTCCGGACCCCGTCGTCGACAAGGATCGGTTCACCGAGGAATACCTGCAGAAGAAGATGAAGACACGTCACGTGCCGATCAAAGCACTCCTCCTGGACCAGACTATGATCAGTGGCATTGGCAACTGGGTTGCGGACGAGACTCTCTATCAAGCCAAAATCCACCCAGAGCAATATTGCGACGACTTCAATGACGAGGAGATCAGCACGCTTTATCAGAACATCCGCTACGTGTGCCAGACAGCTGTGGATAAGCTGGGCGACTCGGACGAATTTCCGGACCACTGGCTGTTCAACTACCGATGGGGGAAGGGGGCCAAGGACACAGCAACTAAGCTCCCCAATGGCGAAAAGCTGGCTTTCATTACGGTTGGGGGCCGCACCAGCTGCTATGCTCCGGGTGTACAGAAGAAGACTGGTCGTGTTGCGCCCGGGGTGAAAGAGGAAACGGTGGAATCGGCCAAGAAAGACCCGCCCAAGAAGGGATCAGTCAAGAAGGAAGCTCCAAAACCAAGAAAGCCCTCGCGCAAGGCTCCGCAGAAGATCAAGGACGAAGAGAAGTCGGATGAGTCCGACGCTGAACCTCCTAAGAAAAAGATAAGGAGCAAGGCTCCAGAGAAGGGTAAGAAGAAGCTATCAACGGCACCTGAAAAGATACAAGAGGCTCCGGCTGAGGGTCGGAGACGATCCACGCGATTATCAGGAAAGTCAGGCGACGCGCAGACGTCGAGCTATTGGTGAGAACTTCAAGAGTCAATCGATTAGGGGTGGCACTTGTGCGCGGCGGGAATTATTTAGAATCTTGATTGGAATTTTGAGCTTGCGGACAGACTTCCGTGTAGCTCGCCAAATCTTCTGAAGTATTAAACTAATCAATGCTGGAATATGCTGATATCCTGAACACCTATATTTTCCCGTCATTATTTTCATGCCGATTGTCTAAAAACCACTGGCTCTATAAATGACCTGTTGAACGCCGTGCCGTGTATGTGCCTATGCTGCAAGCTCAGCATAATGCTCAGGCGTTATGCAATATCTTATACAAATTCGAAATAACATCTTGAAATGCCGTCTCATATAATCATAACCACCCCCTCGTATAGGTGCACCAAGTAGTGCGATGAGACCAAGAGAGCCAATGCGTGTCCTTTACCCAGTACGTGCCGCTCGTGGAATCATTGAAGGGGTATCAATAACTTTAAGGCCAAAGCGGCCATTGTCGCAAAATTTCGTGAAAGGAGTTTAGTAGAAGTGTAGCTGGAGGGGCGGTGAGGATGCTGAAGAAAGACAACCATCGACTGTGACGATTCAATACTGGGAACGTCACTCCTCGTCTTCGCATTGGAACCCGACAGAATATCGACGTCCGTGTAATTGGACCGGAATGACAGTGAGAAAGTTTATGAAGGGTTGCCCATTCTTCTTGTAGTTGCAGATCCTGGTCTGGATCTCTTGCTGGGCGTAAACAGCTTGGCGCAGATGTTGGAGGGCTGCCTTATTTGCAGCAGCCTCAGCGTGTGATGCAGGCGGGCTGCTGGGACCAGGATTTTGGAGGAAGCGGCAGTTCTGCCCAAGGATTTCGGGTTGAGAATAGCCAGTCAATTCACAAAAGGCGTCGGAGGCGTAGACGATTGGCATGTCGGGAAGCTCGAGGTCGCTTACAATAACGGCCACCGAGCAATCGACAGGGCCCAGATCAACACTGGGATGCGGGCGGCCTGTGACTTGCAGCTGTAACAAGGTGGCAGTCAGCATCACGGCTCAGAGAGCAGAGCTGTGAGGCGCGAACGAACCAGAATTGACATCAAATCGAACCCAGTACCCGAATATAGGCCTGGGTAAATGAGATCGTCCCGAACGGCCGGGTACGAAGAGGGTGTTTGGGGAACAAGTCTCTGTTCTGGTAGAGAATACTGTTGACAGGTACCATGCAAGGTCAGCTATTGAGCAAGGCAAGGCAAGGTACAGGGGAGTACCAACGTTCAGGGCATGAGCCTCCCAAGGGTTGACTTGGGGTACCGCTTTGAAGGCCATGATGTAGATCGGTGGTGTAGTGTGGTGCAGTGTAGATTGGTGAATGATGACGCTTGGAGTTGATTGCAACGAAAGGTTCTCTAGTAGGGGCGGACCGGTGGGTTTTTGATAACAATTTAAGCCAGCTGGGATCGAGATGACAACAATCGCACCAGGTTGTTTGTCACGATGCTTTCCGGGAGTGGCTACGAAGTCGCCGTCCACCGAGTCGGGGCTGACGGGGCATTGGCACAGAATCAGGGAACAATTGAGCAGGATTTGAATACCAAATGCTACGGTAGCACGCCGAGAAGGGGAGAAATATAGGGCTGCTGGTGATAATGAACAAGGGCCAGACTCCGGAGGTCAGTCCGGAATGTGCATCGAAGATGCGCCTGGTCATGCGTCTTACAGCAGGAGGGAGCCCAGTGAGTGGTACACGTAGGGAGAGGTGCCAGGGCGCTGCTTGCATATGGATGCTCGCTTCGGAAGTCAGCGACTCACACCCACGCAATGGGCATAGTTTGCAGGCGCACTGGTATGATCGTGAGGGCTGTCAGGGTGTCTGGCGATCGAGGATTTGGTGGCGGGGCAGCTTGGCCGTCGAAAGGCAAAAGGCGCCCGCCGAAGAGGCTGTAGCCAAGGCAGAAGGCCCATCGTGGAATTGGGACCATATCGAGAAAGACCAGTAGCGGGCATCTTCGATGGGCGGCGGTTCAGGCCGATACGTGGGCGACGTCAAGTCATCGACATGGGCAAAACGGGGCGGGCGAATTAGAGGCGGCCGATGGCGGGAACTGGGCCCTGATGGGACGATCGATGCGCGATGGCTGTCGAGCCTTTGCCCCTTGCGATCAGAGGTTTTGGGGAGGCGATCGGCACGCCAGTTGTGTCACTTGGCAGCAGCTCGCCCCGCTGTTTCTGCAGGTGCCGCCCGAGATGGAGGGCGAGGACGGAGCCGTGGTTGGGCTCGACGGCTCCCGACAGCAGCCAGCTCTGGACAAGAGACAGCAGGTTTTCAGGGTCCTGGGGCGGAGGAATCCATGCCATGTGGACCTCGAGATGGACAAACCGGAATCCCATCGCGGGCCAGTCTCCTCAATGTTGCTGTCATTGTGGCAAGACACCCGAGCTGGAATTGGCCGTTGTCATCCACGCAACTAGTCCACATGCGCTCGTGTGCTAGCAGGATCCTACATCTGGAGATGCTGAAGGCTGTCAAGTCTGACAGCTATTGCACACATCTGGGATCCCAAGCCAATAGCGGACCGAACTATGGTCTAGTTACTTCACGTTGGCTGCTGGCTTGAGCGTGCATCGATAACCACGCCTGCACATGCAAGGATGCCCTTCTGTCTTAGGATACGCCTCTTTTGCTGGTCCGACTCTTTGCCCTGGCACACCGAATGTCGCTTTTGACCGAAACATCCAGAACCACGACTCTTCCGACCCGCTGCTGCATGAGGCGACGATCGTGCCAAAGCTCGGTCATCGTCCATATTGTAAATAGAGGTCTCGCTGCGGCCTCGAACCTAACCATATCACGACCAAGTATGTCTCATCCGGAGTTCCAATGGTAACCTAATTCACGGCGTTGGGGTAATCTAGGATGAAATTGCATCTGGGAATTCCATTCCGAATGCATGCAGCTAGCATAACACCGAGATCTTGTGGCGCTTGATGAGGCACGTCCCAACATTAGGCAGTATCACCTGCACACTCTTTTGTCCCCATCAATTGATATGTAGCAACATCCCACTGTCTCTGCGGAGGACGTGAGAGGGTGGTTGTAGTCAAGTGACACAGCCTGGCCCACGATCACTAATGGAGTTCATTGATCAGGTAGGATTATCGTCCGCGATTGGGATTTATGAAACACAACACAATAAACTTCACTAAAAGGATAGAACTATGACAAGAAAGGTGTTTTAGAACTCGGAGTTGATGCGTGCGGTGATTTGCGGATGTCAAGCAATGGATGGATGGGACGGTAATAAACTTATCGCTGAGTCCGGGATGCGATAAGAACATTTTAAGGCTTGACACGTCTAACGCGTCTTCCCCCATCCCAATCTCCCCCCGCATCGCACACTTGCATCCCACCACAATTCTCACCGATCAACGAACCTCTGACTGAATCGCCGAAGATCGATTTGTTTCACTTATTATTGTCGCATCTAATAATTAAGAATTCTGATTGCTTTGTTGAACAGCTACCGCCCTTGTGACGCAGCACCCCCGTACATTCATCTAAAACCGAAGGCACTCCAGCCAATTTACACAAGGCGACAGGGAAGACGACGAACAGAGAGGATTCTAAATGTCCCGCCATCGTACCCGGCCTGGTACATCGGCCCCGTCATCGTCTGGCAGTCCAGCGTCCAGAGGCTCCGGTTCCACCACCGAACTTGTCTACGATCCGCCTTCCTTTCCACTCAACCAAACAGCCTATTCATTGCTTGGCGACCTCTCCCGTTCTCAGGAAACAGCATACAAAAACCAGATCCGCGGCTCGCTACATGCGCTAGGTCACAGCGTTTACGACTTGCAGGATCGTCTCCAAACCCAGCGTCAACGGTTGCAACAGCTGCAAACCCGCCGAGAGGAGCGTGGGATCGTGTCTCCCGATGAAGCTCGGCTCACTTCCCACGTTCAAAGCCTTGAACGGCAGGTGGACCGACTAACCAATCTCGCCGAGGCTGCTGTGCGAGACGTCATCGATCAAAGAATAGAGCTGGAGGATAATGGCGTTGTACTCGACAACATCTACCAAAAAGGTTCCAAAGACCAAAGTAACACGAATGGTGCGGTAACTCGCCGGCAACGTCGTGCCAATGAGACTACAGGAGAGGTGGAGGAAGAGGACATGGATAATAAGGATGAGGATGAGATTGAACAGCCACCGCCGAAGAGCATCCTGGACACATACAGGGAAGAGCGGATCGCCAAGAAGGATGATCAAAACTCCAAGGACATGTACCGGCGGTATGGCCTGGAAAATGACTATAATGCCTTCAAGAAACTATGGCACAGTGGCATGGCCGGCCAGGATGGACCGCCACTCCCCGATCCAACCAAGTGGTTCCGTGCCGACGGGACTCCAATCATGGGCACTTCGATCGAACAGCTTTCCGGAGAAAGCGCCATGGATGATGACATAGCTGTTGCTCGCGAGGTTATTAGCCTCACCTGCCCACTATCTCTTCGACAATTGGAAGAACCGTACAGCAACCACAAGTGCAAGCACACATTCGAGAAGAGTGCTATCCTCGACTACCTTAACGGATCAAGAGGCCCGCAACAATGCCCACAAACCGGGTGTTCACAGGTATGTTCCCCTTGACACATCCCACCCTCGTGCAAGTGCTAACATGTATGCAATAGGTGTTTAAAAGATCAGATTTTGCTACAGATTTCTACCTCGACGAAGTCATTCTCCGCCAGATTCAACGTGCTAAGCAGATGAATGAAGATTGCGAGATGGATGTTGACTCTGATGATGATGTTGGGGACCAGTCAGTGATAGCTGGCCCTGAGCGTGTGATGCGAAGGGGAGTAAAGCAGGAGTTGGCTGATCGCTCCAAAAGAGAACCTCTCTGAGCGATGGAGATAGTAACAATAACAAGATACCCCAGGCTGTCGATTATAAGCCTGCCTCCCAACCCGTGCAAATTACCCATTTCAAGAGTATTTGTCAAAAGTTTCGATGGCTGATTTGTTGATAAAAGACCCAGATGCTTTCTTTCCATATCCTTCTGCTACATGGACCTATCAGGCACTCAATTTGCACCAACACGCTCAACCATGAGATGCTCGCCTCATTATGCATTATGATACATCTAGTATACAACTGAAGTGTACAGCCCGAACCAGTCGGGTTCGTTTCATAGCCCCCCAAAATTTTCTAAATTAGAAGCGAGAATGCACCCTTAGGGAAAGTCCCTTCTCACAGCAAAGAAGTAGTTTCCAACCTTTTCACTGCCACGGACTTGCTTCCATCCGAGCCCCGGGACGTACACGACTCCCATCACCCGAGGGCTATTCCAGCCCTTGTCCATGAAGAACCGGCGAAGCTCCTCCTCGTTGAGATACTTGTTCCAATCATGGGTGCCCTTGGGCACAATCTTGAGGATATCCTCCGCAATCAAGTTCGTGGTGAGCCAGCTCATCCACGTCCTCGCGATGGTGCTCATGACCAGCCAGCCCCCCGGCTTGACAAACGGCTGGACCTTGTCCAGAAAGGCGCCGGGCTGGTCAATGTGCTCAATCACCTCGAACACCGAAACGATGTCGTAGCCCTCGCCCTCCCCTTGGGGAACCTCGAGCTGCTCGATCGAGCTGTTCCTGTACTCGAGCTTCCGGCCGAGGCCCGGGTCCTTGCGCGCGTGCGCCTTGGCGACGGCCAGGACGGAGGGGGTCGGGTCGATGGCGAGGACGCTGCGGGTGGAGCGCAGGCGGGCGGCGCTCTCGGCGAAGATGCCACCTCCGCATCCGATGTCCAGGTACGAGAGGGTTTCGTTGCGGGGTTCGGGCTGCGAGTCGAGGCACGCGTTGATGAAATCGTGACGTAGGGGGTTCATCTGGTGAAGCAGTCGTGAGGAGCCATGGGGATCCCACCACTCAGAGGCGAGCTCGGCGAAGTGGGAGACCTCCTCTGGGTTCACCGAGGAGAAGGATGGGTTCGGGTTCGAGGTCGAGTGGCATCGCGAGGGGAGCACTGCCTGGGCGGGCCGAAGAATTGTTGGTGCCTGTCTGGGTATGGCGAGCTGTGTCCGAGGCAAGATTCTCTTCGGTATGGCTCGGAATTGGGTAGCCGCTGACCGAGATACGGGAGGCATGGTGGTGATATTATGGACTGGGCGGATGTCTCTTCTTGGAGCTCATCAACGAAATCCCGAAGCTTGGACTTTGCTCGGACGCTGGATGAGGTTTAGCCTCTCCCGGCGCCTTGGACCCTGGTATCGATAACTGTGAATGAATCAGTTGATCTACCCTAAAGCTCGAGGCCTGGTGGATGACCAAGCAAATCAAGAGACAGCCAGTTTGTCAGCGCCAGTCAGCACGCTGAGCCAGTCTCTAATGTCTATTAGCTTCCAAACTGCCCATTGCACATTGATACTGGGCTCTAAAATTAAAATAACGTATGTTTGCACATAGAGCGGTCCCTGCTTATATAATAACCGCGCGTTCATATGCGATGATGATCAATTTGAGGTGGAATACCGGCAGTGGCCGAGACCGAGGGATACCGGTTTCTCCACACCCTCTCGGAACCTGCAATGCAGTTTTGGCCTAGAACCCTTGTGATCAAGACCCCGATGTCGCCTTGGCGTGCCTGGTTGTGACTCTGTCCATTTTCGTGATTCTTTTCTTTTCTACATTGCCCTTCTCTCATCCTCTGCCTCCTCCTCTCTCCAACTCAGTGTCTGCTTTTATAGTCCCCTCCAAAGATACAGGTTGTTCAATAGTTCAATTGCGCCATTCTTGTTCCGCCAGGACCCTTCCCACATCTGCCCCTCCACTTCGGTTCCGGCGGGGTTCCGTAGTAGATCTGTCGCCAGCGACAACTCCTCTTCTCCAGGACACACCCCAGTGCGCCGCTGTCACACAATTGCCCCCAAGATGCCTTCCTCCACGCTGGACCAGAGTCAATTCGACTCCATCCCCTCCTGCATCGAGTCCTTCAGTAGGTTTCCGTGCTTCCGGAACACCCCCAAGCCGCAGTCAGAATCGCACAGACACTAACCGAACCGCCCGGGAGCACAGAGAACGGTGAATTCCTCGTCGTCCTCGACGACCCCTCCCGCGAGAACGAAGCCGACCTCATCATCGCCGCCGAGAGCATCACCAAGGAGCAGATGGCCTTCATGGTCCGCCACTCCTCCGGCCTCATCTGCGCCCCCATCAGCGCCGCCCTCACAGAGAAGTACGCCCTGCCCCAGATGGTCGCCGTGACCGAGGACCCCCGCGGCACCGCCTACACCGTCTCCGTCGACGCCTCCCACGAGTCCGTCACCACGGGCATCAGCGCCCACGACCGCGCCCTCGCCTGCCGCACCCTCGCCGACCCCCAGGCCACCGCCGCCAGCTTCCGGCGGCCGGGCCACGTCCTGCCCCTGCTCTCGCGCCCGGGAGGTGTCCGCCTCCGCAGGGGCCACACCGAGGCCACCACCGAGTTCTGCCGCCTGGCGGGGAAAGTCGAGGCGGGCGTGATATGCGAGCTGGTCGACGACGGGCAGGTCGTCCCGGGGAGGGCCGTCCACACCGACCCGGGGATGCTGCGCGGCGAGGCCTGCGTCGCCTTCGCCAGGAAGTGGGGGCTCAAGGTCTGCACCATTGCCGACCTGGTCGACTACGTGGAGAAGACGGAGGGGCCTCTCCAGCTCAACGGGTCTGGGGAGTAAGAGCAGAGGCGGCTCTGGGAGGCGGCGGGGTTACCACGGAGAGGAAAGCATTTAGTAAAAAAAAGGATAAAAAAAGGAGGACGTAACTAACCTAGTCAGACTGATAGACTGACAGAGGCAAGGGGTCAACAGGCACGGTTTGGCGTTTTTGTAAATGCTGTAGATTTATCATCACTCATCTCGATGCGATTTATGCCCTGTTTCGTGTGAATACGCAGGTGGGAGGCTGCCACATGTATAGCTTGACACATGACATCTAGAGGACCCAGTAATTCATGCAATGGGAAAGTCAATGCAGTTGGCAATTTTTTTCTAACGTGAAGAAGTATGCTTATTCAAAACCCTATCCTAACATCCTTTATGCCAATTCTGATGATTTTGGGGGAAATATACTCCGGAACGCCATGGCTAGATGAAAATAGCATAGAATGCCCTGATGCCCCAGAGAGTAAGAAGTAGGAAAGAAAAATCCAACTGATACTTTTTCCAAAGTATGTAGACAATATATGTAGTGTGTATGTACACATGTATACATTCAATTGACATCCATCAGGATGAATGTTGAGGTCCCTTACTCGGACAGCTTTGAGCGAAAGAGTTCCTTTCAGTCTCCCACATAGAAATGGCTGCTTTAGGCCATGAAGTCTTCCTCGATATTAGCACGATTACCCGCATTGTTCAAAGTAAGCTCAGCGGTCCTCTTGAGAAGGTCGTCGGCCTCCTGCGCCGCCTCACGTTCCAGAATAGGCTCGCCCTTGGAATTGGAGCGGACTTGAACCTTGACCTCACCCAAGATGCCGTCCACTCGGATCGTAGACACAGTCGTGCCGCCAGGCGGGGGCTTCAGATTAGGCTGCGGCGCAAGACTGACGAGCTCGCGGAAGAACGCATTGGCGGTCTCGCAGCCATCCAAGAGCCACTTGAGACAGATAGTAACTCGCTCCTTGGCAAACGGATTGTGGTCGTCGTAGGCGCAGCAATTCAATAAAGGCACGATGCCATTCCACTGAACAACCTGGAGCTGGACCTTTGCGTTGCCGGGGCTGCTCTGGCCCGCCGGGGGCTGAAGCAAAGTAGCAAGAATTGTAAACAGTTGTCCCTTGATACCAGCCCAAGGGAATTTGTGTGCAGGTTCCTGCAGAGGTGGCGGGGGCGGTGACGGGGACCGACTGTCGCTGCCTGTAGCGTATGGCCGTTCAACCATCGGATTGCTATCACCAACATTGCCCTTGTTCTTGCTATTTCCATTCTGCCCTTGTGGTGTTCTCTTTGGGAGCTCAACGAGCGGTTTCTTCAGCACAGCGGCTTCCAGCCCGTTAAGAATCACCAAAAGGTCATAGACCGCTTCCCAGTCGATCAGCTCATTTCGGGTGTCCTGCGACTCGGCAACGGTAGTCAGGAAATCAAGGTACTGCGCCAATCCGTCTCTCGCTCTCTCCATATCCCACGTGTCCACTGGGAACTCTGCGGGATCGCAATGCCCCTCTCGAATTTGTGCTTGGAGATGCATCAGCGCAGCACACTCAGGCACAATTCGAGTGCGGAAAATGCCGAAGAAAAAGTGCATCAGCTTGATGTCCTTTGATTCTTCAGACTTTTGACCTTGAGGCACGGTTGCGTTTGCTCGTGCTCGGAACATGTGGTTGACCAGTCGTAGCAGAACCGTCTGGGCAGGAGAAATGATGTCCTTGGGGATTCTGAGGCCGTTCCACGCATAGGGGATCAGCGCACTGTGGTGAATCGCCTCCACAATCTGCGTCGTCACCTGGAAGATGAGGGATTGCTCATCCTTTTCCCAGACAGCGATGAACACGAGCATCTCACGAAGCAAGCTCTTCCCACAATCCAAGGCGAGGAACATCCGACAGCGAGTCTTTTGCAGATTTTCTCCGGCCCTGGTAAGGCCGCAGCCCGCATTATCTAGGATGCAGGATTTGACAATCATGTGCAGCGCTTCGATTTGCTTGGGGTCCAAAATATTAGGAATCTCAGTCAAAAGACCAGTCAACGGGCCGTCCCCATAGGACTCATCATCATCTGCATCCTCATCATCGATCATGTCATCCACGTAATCATGTGGGTAGTCATGGTCGTGATGATGGTGATGGTGATGGTGGTGATGCGGGCAGTCCAGATCATGCTCGTCGCTTTCATGCCCGTGGTCGTGGTCGTGATCATGTTCATGGTCGTGGTCATGGTCATGGCTGTGATGGTGCGAGTCATCATGGTCCTCATCTTCATGATGGTGACACTCGTGACACTCCGGGCAGTGTTCAGTATCTGAATAATCGGCCTCTGCCACCACCGAAGGAGGAGAATGTTCGCCTTGGTAGGAGTGAGCATATCGGTGTACGATGTTTTGCTTGCAATGATCGAGACGTGATTTCGCGACTTCGGTGGTGGGCATTCCGACAATGTACTGATCGTAATTAGGGTCACGCGCCCGCAGCCACCATGTATCAATCTCTCTCGAAACTCTGCCGTAGACCTTGTCTTGCTCATACTTGTCGGACTCATCTGGGTTCCATACCGGGCTGATCTTTTCTTCCGGCATACCCACTGTGTCAATGTCCTCCGGGACCATCTCGTCAGGAAGCCAATTCCATGCCAAGGGTCGGATGGGGGCGAGGTTTCCTGGAGGTTTATCCGCATGATTCGTGGCGTAGTCTTTCAACAGCCTCCTTGCCGTGGGACACATTTTGGAGTTGCGATCAAGCCAATGCTGGGTCTGCTGCTTTGCCACATCAGGGCGGAATCCGGACCCATCGCCCTCGTCAGAACCTGGGTAAACTCCATCGTCGTCAAATAGAACGTCAAACCAAAATGACATCTTGTTCCTGTCGTGCTTGGCTGTCCAGTTGTGAGCCTGTTGCAACGAGGTGACGAGGAGCTTCTTGTCTACTCATTGTCAGTTTTACATTATACGACAAGGTTGGAGCGCCCTGGTGTCCTTACAGTGCTCAGTGACTTCCGCGAGCTTATTCCTCTGGGCTTCATCCAAAATCTCGCCGTCATATCCTTTACTAGTAACGTTGACGCATAAAATAATAGTCTGATATACCATCTGATCAAAGTGTACGGCAGCACAGATATCTTGGGGGACCTCGGGTTCGGCGTTGACCAGCAGATTACGTGCTATGTGCATCAATTTGATCAACGTGGTGAGATCCTCTTTGATCGTGCCGTGGTTCAGGACGATAAGTCCTGTGCTCTCTTGAGGGCTCACGCCCTTCTCTGGGTCGTTCAGACTCGAAAGCGGCCCAACAGACCTAGTGGTCAAGCTAGGGATGGCAGCCGCGAATATTCTAGTCAGCCATATCCAGATGGCGACGTTTCGAGAGAGCGCTTCCCTGGATTTCCTGCAGGTGTGTGTCTTCTCCAAGGTCTTGGAAACCATTGAGGCCACCTTGACCGAGGTCAGAGGGCCCATGGGAGGAGATTGGGTGAAATGGCCCTCAAGGCAAACAAGCGCGGCTGAGAAGCATCGTTCCTCGATGGTCTCACTTGAAGACTCATCATCCTGCACTTCCGGCGGTACCTGGGTCAACGGATCTGATTCTTGCGGCCGTGGCACGATAGCTTGGGCATCCATGTTGATACGCTGGCTCATGGGCTGGCTGGTATCCCGTCAAATACCGGATGGTTAGTATTCCAGCCAAGTCGATTGCCCTCGGCAGCCTTCAAATGTTGGTGAAACTCGGCAGAAGTATGTTGAAAACTGGGCCACACAAGAGAAAAAATATGTAAGTGGCGGGGCTCCCGACCGTAGCCGTGTGTTGACTGTTGGCAGTGAGCTTTGGTAAGCAAATTTGTCAATGCCGCGGGTTTGCCTTTCCCCGGTAAAAGAGAGCAAGAAATGAATGAGTATCAAAAAGAAAGCCCGTTAATGGGAATGAATGGCTTTTGAGCTAGATATCTGCGCATACTGATGGATGTGCATAACTGTACCTGCAGCTTTGTTGCAGCAAATATTCACAAGCTGCTTAAGTAATCAATTCCAGGTTGCCCCACTTCGCTACAGGGCGAGCACCACTCAGTCGTAATGGTTCAACTGCCTGTAGCACCTATCAACGTGATTATTACCCCGCCATCAGACTTCATGACAGACGAGGGGCAATCCGTCTCTGCCGGAGCGCATTGAGATGCTATGTTTGGATGTCACATATGTGTCCCAAGAGGAAAATTTCTATTCCGACAAACATTGACATCCTGTAGAACCATCTCACACTCGAATTGGGTTGCTTTACTTAAGGTATCTAGATAGAGACCGCGCCCCGTGCGGTGAAAAACCTTGTCATTGGCGTTTAAAAAAAAAACGGGAGCTGTAGAATGCCGCATTATTAATTAAGGCCAGAGAACAACACGGAGATCCGCTCGTGAGATTAGAGCCCAACCTATTCTGGCCAATTACAGCTCTTTTAGTTGGTTGGACCTCCACGCTCTCGCGTCATTTCTGTTCCGCAGCTCCCTTCCTTATCCTTACATATATGGTGGGGTAGCAATAGATCAAGCGTTTTCTGAGCCATCCGTGATTACAGAGTATTAGATTCTTTGCTTTTGGTGAGTCGAACTCATCGAGTGCTTCCCAGCTCATGAATGGGGAGTGAGATGCCAGTCTCGCTAACTGTTCTCTCAGAAGTGACTTTGTTCATCCACAATGTCTTCTCTTCCTACCACTTTTGACAGTATGTGTTGGACCTTCTCTCTCCTCCCTATAGCCCTGCCATTTCTGTGAAGAGTTCTCACAGAAATGAGAACTATCACGGAGATATATAGGGGAAGAGTTTCACAGGTACATATTTATATACTAAGTTCACGGCAGAGCCCGTCTCCATCGCCGTCATTGGCGGCACTGGTCTTGGCCAGCTCGAGGGCTATGAGCCTATTGCCGTCCTCAACCCCGTCACACCCTGGGGCTCGCCCGCATCGCCAATCCAGATCCTGGCTCACAACGGAACTCACATTGCCTTCCTCGCCCGCCACGGTGTTCACCACCAGTACGCACCCCATGAGGTCCCCAACCGTGCCAACATCGCCGCCCTGAGGCACATTGGCGTTCGCACCATCATCGCCTTCACCGCCGTCGGTTCCCTCCAGGAGGAGATCAAGCCGATGGACTTTGTCATCCCTGACCAGGCCATCGACCGCACCAAGGGAATCCGCCCTTTCACCTTCTTCGAGGGTGGTGTGGTCGGCCACGTCGGCTTTGCTGACCCCTTCGACAAGCACCTCGCCCAGGTCATCAAGACCTGCGCCGCGCATCTTGACGGCGACGGTGTCGTCCTCCATGAGAAGGGAACCGTCATCTGTATGGGTACGTTAGCCATCAATGTTTTCCCCCTTTCCCCATAGACTTGTGCTACTACAGCAGTTCTCCCCCTTGAACTCCTGAAATCCTATTTTCTCCTACCGCAGAAGTATACCAGGAGATGGCTTCTAACAGTCTGATCAACAGAGGGCCCCCAGTTCTCTACCCGCGCAGAGTCCCACATGTACCGCTCATGGGGCGGATCCGTGATCAACATGTCCACCCTCCCCGAGGCCAAGCTGGCCCGCGAGGCCGAGATCGCCTACCAGAGCATCTGCATGGCCACCGACTACGACTGCTGGCACTCGTTCGAGGACGTCAACGTCGAGCTCGTCATCAGGTACATGAAGTCCAACGTCGGCAACGCCAAGCGGCTCATCGCGGGCGTCCTCGACCAGCTCTCCAAGGCCGAGCACAGCGACCTCGTCCAGGCCAAGCACTGGGCCGGCGCCAGCCAGGGCGCCGTCAAGTTCATGACCAAGCCCGAGGGGCGCGACCCGGAGGCCGTGAAGAGGGTCGACTACCTCTTCCCTGGGTTCTGGGAGTCCTCATGAGCAAAAGTTTCTCCCCCTCCCCTTCCCCTCACTCACTCTCAACTTTTCAACCCGCTTTTTTCGTTTCGTCGGGCAGTAACGACACGGCAATACGGGGCGCGTGAACACTTATTGGGAGCGAAGAAAGACAAGACAAAAGGAGTCGGTTCCGCAAAAAAAAATAACAATGGACTTGCTACAATCTCGGCGGGGGAGCAATCTAGGCGTCCAGTTTAACGAGGGTAATTTTGATATTTCAACACATGGGGGTTTTCATAGATAGACAAGGATTAAAAGAGAGAACAAGGGAAGGGGAGAGAGAGAAAGGGTTAGTAGGGTGAGGAAAGATTAGAACTTTTGGACACGTCGTGCTCAACCAAGGCAAGCATCCAAACAAGAAAACAAGGCTTCAAAGTAGGCAGCATCACTCCTCCCCTCTCCTAGAAACCCGTACTACACCCGGTCAAGTGGAAACAGCTCGACTGTTCCCATTCGAAGAGCGAGGTTCGGCCAAATACAGCATGTGCCAAGTTTGGGGGGACCCTGTTAAACGCAGGCCAGGGTGTGTAGCCCTTTCGAAGGGGACTCGTTTAGCGAGAACCCCGATGAGCCTTGCCAGAATATGCGCGATGCTGCAACTCGCGGGGTAGAGGGGGCCAAACGCGGTAGTACCTAGTTTGCAGATCGTTCTCTAACTCCATCCCACACACCCCCAAGGGGCCCATGACATAATTTCGGCCTGGGAGGTTGCAGTTTCTTTGAACGTATGCCATGCCCGTCATGTTATGTACAAGGCCGTGATGATGTGAGCACGCGTGCAGCTTGCCGCGCAGTTCTTCCCCCGCCTGGTAAGGTAGAGTGGGAACGATCCACGGGAATGGGGTTCCTCTGCGTGAAGAACTTTGGGGGCATGGGGGCAACAAGGTTTTCAAACTTTTTCAGATTTATGAGCGCGCCAACATCGCCAACGAAACGTATACATAGGCAAGAGTGGGAGGGGATGTTGCACTCCCCTCTCCCCCCTCCCCCCCGCCGTTCTCATCAAAGTGGACCACAAAGTCCGATTCGATATGTAGCATCTTGGCAAGATGAATTGGCCTTTGGGAGGTAGCCTCGTGGCACACTCATGATGGGCCCTATGGCCGTCCTGGTTGGATCACCGATGAATCCCAGGCCCGACTCTCTGCAAAGAATACGACCTCATCTGATACTCGCCCAGAGGGGGGGTGCGGCCGTCTGCCAGATAGGGGATGGAGGAGTGGGTTTCTCTCTCTCTCTCGCCCGTATGTATGTATCTACGCTGGTGTATTACACGCCGCTCGCTTGTACATGCCTACTTGGCTAGAGTATGTAAGTCAGACCAGCGAGCCAGGTATCATTTACGGAAGTTTGGCCTAGAATGGGGACCCCGTTAAAAAAAAGAGCCATGTTCGCTTCCGCAGCTAGGGTTTTGCACGGCCGGGGGGGTTCGTCACTCTCGATCCTGTCCATCGGGACAGGACAGGAGGGGGGGGGTTGGTGAGGCTTTCGTCTACTTGCCCTGTCCTGGCAAGTCAAATACGATCGTGCGGACTTTATCACGAATAGGCACAGCCGCACAACACCAAGCCTTTGAGTGGGCATTCTGATAGCTCTAAAATCTGATAGTAAAGGCACGCTCCAAGACTACGCGTAAGTTTGCTTATGCTATTGCTTTGCTGCGCCCCTCCCACCAGTTTCTCCGCCCGCGAATGGGGCGCCCTAGGTTCGTGCTTCTACGAATGGAGGCATGCAACTCGTTAGTTAGGCAGGTCGAGGGGCCACAAGAGGCCGATCATGGAGAGTCAGCAGCGAGGGCGCTAGTGCGAGTTTTCGAACTACGTTGTGGGATCTCGAAACGCCGCGCGCGCCTGGTGCTTACTGGGTTCGGACGCCTTTGCTTCTTGGTTGAGGAGGTTCAAACAAGAAAGTCGTCTTCCCCTTAACCATGTTCGAAGTTGCAGGGGAGTGGTGGGGGGAAGGGAGGGAGGGAACTGGGTCAGAACAGATTGGCGAAAAGTGAGAGAATCCTTCCACCAGTCGTCTGGGCGGTTTTCGACAGTTGTGGTTCATGCTCGAGGTGAAAGTAAAGGCCAGAGCCCTGGGAACCGAGATGATGATTAGCCGGGTTTAGAGAAAAGGGGATGAATAGATGGATCCTGCTGCAACTCGTTCGACCTGATATCGAACCCAAGCCAAGAACTTGTGGATGCCGACACTAGTGATGCAGATAGACCAAATGGGAACATGCGACTTTAATGGGGGTATGACGCCTGCTTGTGCCTCTTGTCGAACGGTCCCTGCATCTGCCTAGCTCGGCACGGTGGCATCTCTCAATCACCTCGACGTGTGTACTGTCGTAGTCGTGCAGGATTTGCATGTAAGTATGCTACCATCCCTTCTCCAAAGATCTCCAGGACTGGCGGGGGCAGGGGTGGTCGGTGCAGGGATGCGGCGATGTATTGCCCGTTCATCACAGGTTCCTTGTTGAGGCAGGTGATACAGGAAAGCAGAAGAGAGACAACGAACAGGCCAATTCGGCGTGGGCGGCCGTTGGTGCCGCCGGGACGTTGGTCTCATGCACGTAATGATGTTGAGAGTGTGGCGGCCGAGGCTGCCACTTGGAGGCTGGACTGTGGAGAGATTGATATAAGCCAGCTGCATCCATTGGCTTCAAAAGGTCCCTTGAAGAAGCATTGACACGGCACAAGACCAAGCTGAAAGGCGGACGTACTGACGCATGCTAACCCTGGCGTACATGTATGTATGTACCAATGCTAGCGGCAGCTTCGCAAATATGACAGGTAACAAAGCCGGGGGCAACCAAACAGGCAGCAGACCAGGCCAACTGGCCAACCGAGTTGAGGGTTCTGGCCCATCATCAACATCTGGCCGGCCTGTTTTCCCCGATACGCAAGCTGAGAGGTCGAGCATTCGCACACACAGCCATCATATCATCATCCATATACGAGGCCCAGCGACGTACATTGTGCGACGCACGCCATCATCCCATTCCGTGGCGGCCGGCTGACACGGTGGATCCGGAGCGGATGCGCAGAATCGCTTGTCTTCTCCGCCGCCGCCTCTAATCGTGTCACCACACGCTTGGCGGCGGTGGTGGTAGGAGCCTCGTAAATTGGACTGTTGGTTGTTGGTGCATACAGCTTCCTGACATGTGGATCTGTATGTACTCCTCTGCAACGAGGTATCATTGCACATCTCAAACGACCACCATCCTCCGCCCCTGCCCTCCTCTCCAAGCCCAAGCCAGATACAGAAGACAGCAGGATTTGGAATTGTAATTCCCAGTTCACGAGTGGAACGGCGGACAGTCTAGTGTAGTTGAAGCACTAGCGCATGGAGTGGACTGAGCTAAGGACGACCATGTCACTTGCTCATCAGCATCATCATCCCTTTACAGGTGTTCCAAGCCAAGATCATATGCCAGTCAACGAGACCACAATAAATGACATGTCACAAAGGCCTCTGTCAATAATATCACTCTAGTCTTGGGGGTTTCTCCGTTTGCTTCTGTGATGCGATTAATTCCGCGGTACCTCCCCACCCCCTCTTCACCTTCCTGGGCCAGCTGATCATGACGAAAATTTGATGATATGGTTCGCATCGCGCAACATGCCAGAAATGTCGTCCGTCAGAATAGATTTGCCTCGCCCCCTCAAAGGTCGAATGGGGGGTGTACAGCTTGTACTACCTCCGATCTAAGACCTTCCCTCTCGCTCCCACGTGGGAAGGGGCCTAGTAGGCGTAGCCAAGTTCGTTCTTTAGGTGCTCAAAGCGGGAGCCTTGCGTCGGGGCCGAGGGGAATGAGGCAAGTCCACCCACCCATCCCCACGGACTATTTTTCACATTTAGCCAGAGCCGATTCAATGGGTTAGTAGACGCATGTATGTAAGGTTTCGGGGTGCCACACTGGGTGTGATGAGTGAGATAACTGATACCCTGCGATGCAGCGCCGCCTGATGGCTGCCACACCTTTGTCGCCGCCGTAACATCTTAGTTTCTCTGACCAGACACAGCTCTCGTATGCCGGCCGCGCGCGAGATTGCAACTCTCTGTTGCATCATATGACTGCCAATTCGTCCACGGTAATTACTTGTAGACTTGCACTAGTAATATCATTACCTACTTTCCTCGCCCCTGATGCTACCCTGGTACTAGTCTAGGGTAGCACAGATTATGGAAATGTTACCTTGTTTTCTGCGATACTTCCAAGTAAGTACCAGGCTACCCGAGTGATCATGCAATTGCTGGGAGCTCCAATATGACTAAAAAGGCCGAGGCAGGGTAAACTCGCCAGATCCGAGCTATCCTTGGCTTCGAGCGTCGCAAGTAGCCGACTCGTCACCGGCATCATCGCGCACTGTCTCCCTACATATACCCACTTCGCAGGCGGTACGAGAGCCCATGTACATCGCTCAAGTTTCCGAGCAAAGTACCTATATCACTGGCAGATATCGTAGTAGGCTCCCATCCGCCCGGGATTTATGAGTGACTTGGATTTGCGTGTTTTAATGGCGGCTCGCGATGCTTTTGGTACCAATGCTTGTTGGCCCTCCATGTTGCAATGGATGTTACCCACTCATGCCAGGCTGATGATCCCAAGATTGAGAAGTCATGTCCCTGGGGCCTGGGATCACCAGAGCATGCGCTGTTTGCAAGTTATGCCAAGCGATCGGCCCAATTGCCCTGGCCATCGTTTCTCTAGATTTGTACACTGAAACTCAATTCCGGACTCGTGTAGGTTGCTAAATCGCAGATCGTGGGTGTCTCTTCCCGGAGAAACAAGGGCGACTTATTGTTGAAGTTCGCCGAGATCCCCACATCAATTGCCCATACCTAGTCATCCCCCTTGCCCAGTTGCAACTTTTAATGGATTTCCCACCCGTATGATTCGTTGAGGTGCATGTCGCTAGGAAGAAACCGAAAAAGAGACGGCCCGCCTTTTGTGCGATGCGAAAATTCGGTGGTTGTTTTCGTAGGGA